CATGTGGTTCTCAATATCAAGGCTAAACAGCAGAGGGATAGTTTAGAGACCATGCTTCAGACTGTGGATATAATGAGCCTGTCTGAAAAAAGCATGGGCAAACCACATTGTTATACAGCTATAACCTTGCTACATGCACAAATGGAGAAAGTCTTACAACAAGAGAAAATCATTAAGACGCAACAAGATGAAGCTAAGAAATTGAAGATGAACATGATCACAGGTAAGCACAAATATTTTTCTTAGTCTGATGTCCTACAGTCTTGATATAACAACCTACAACAATGAATATAAAACTTTATGTTTATGTTTTAGGTGGTGAAGGTGGAGAACAGGACTCAGACTGTCTCAGGATTGTGCTGATTGGGAAGACCGGCTGTGGAAAGAGCTCTACAGGAAACACCATTTTAGGAAGAGACGAGTTTACAGCTAAATCAAGTCAAATATCAGTTACACAACAATGTCAGAAATTACACGGTGAGGTGGACGGTCGTCCTGTTGTTGTGGTCGACACTCCTGGTCTGTTTGACACAAGTTTGACCAATGAAGAAATTCAAGAGGATACGTATGAATGTATTGCCAAGACTTCTATATCTCTTCCAAATGCTGCCTATTAACATTCCCAACTCTACATTTGATAATTTAGATAAACTTTTTTCCAGATTTATATGGCAAGGCAAACGCCCAAGGATCAAGTTCCAAACGTTAAAACTGTCAAAACTGCAGGGGGGATTGGCTGTTCCAAATCTGAAATATTATTTCTGGGCAGCTCAGATGACTGACTGGAATAAAGTTACGTTGAAACCAAGCACACCATTGTTTTTCTTGTGACATTACCAATAAGTCTGATGTGTCACATGACCCTCTTCCTATTGAAAAAACAAAAGTTGTATCCAAGATGGCCGACTTATAAATGGCCACCATGGTCACCACCCATCTTGAGGAGTTTGCCCCCTCACATATACTAATGTGCCACAAACAGGATTTTAATATCACCAACCATTCCCATGTTATTACGCTGTATCCATATAAATGGCCCAGCCTGTATATTGTTGACCCAGCAAATGTGATCACATTTTTCTGTTAACTCATAATAAAGTCATAAAAGAACCAAACTTCATGAATGTTTTTTTTTGTGACAAAGAAGTATTTGTTCCAATCACTCTATCAGAGAAAAATCCGACTTTTAGAAGAGTTTTTATTATGTTCTTTACAAGTGTATGTAAACTTTTGACCACAACTGTAATTACTTAACTGTGGGGAAGCAGAGGTGAGAAGGGCAACAGGAAGATAATGCTGCGGGCTTACTGTTGAGCCAGGCTGCGGAGCTTCGAGGGGCAGAACACGTCTGTGAGACGATATGGAGAGGTGTAGTTACGGAGTTAGTTATCCAGTGAGCAGGGCAAACAGGAGGACAGGCAGGTGGTGTTTTAGGAAGCCAGACAGGGACCTGGGCTCAAGAGAGCGGAGTTAACACAAGCAAAACTAGGTGAGTACAAATCTCAAACGAGCGTTGGTTACCACTAAAGTGACTGAACGAACTATTGTGGAGCAGCAGACCGCACTGCCAGAAGTAGTCCTCCTGTGATTGCCTGTGAATGGAATTCACGTGCTACACTGATGGCCTTCCGCGAAGGCGTAGCCGTGGGACACTCCCACATGACTGCTCCCACGGACCATGACACTTTGATTTAATATCATTCATGGTTCGGTTTCCTGTGCCTTCTAGTTTGGTTGCTCTCGTTCCCGTGTTCTGTGTTCACTCGGTCTCACCAGTAGATTGTGTTTACAAGTCAGACTCAAGTCTACGTTTTAGTCTGTGTCTCATGTTTCCTGTTTTATTTTGATAGTCCCTCATCTGGTGCTCAGTGTGTTCAGTTCTGCTTCCTCCCTGTCTTGTATGTGTTTGGTTACTCCCACCTGTGTTTGCATTCCCTGGTTATTCCTCTGTGTATTTAAGCACTTCTGCCACACATAAAGGCACACTTTCAGTTTAAGTCTGTTCCCAGTATATCCATTTGGGTCCACACTGTCTCTCCACTCTACACATCTGCTAGCACTTCACTTTATCCTCGATCCCCTACTCTTCCATAATTTTATCCTCTACCTAAGCTAAACTGTCGGAAGGATGACTCATACATACACAACTAGCAATATGGTATTTAGGGTGTCCTCCTCTGTGATCTTGATTTCTAACTAATGTGTCTATGCAAGCTAATTTGCAATGAGCACCGCTGGCCCGGTCATTTAACTCACTGCGTGTCGTGCGCAGGGCTGGACTGGGACAAAAAATCAGCATTTTGACTAGAGACCGACCCCCCAGGTATTAAAGCCATAAAGACTTTGACTGAAAACAAACCCTGTTGTGACAGTGATGTACAGTCTTGTTGATATATGTATGATTTCTATACATTTTACATCAGATAAAAACTTTGGTTGTAAGCTTCAGATAATTATTTAATAAAAGCTAGGTATTTTAAATGAGAATAAGAAAGAAAAGTATGTCTTTGTGCCCCCCTCTCCCCGTTAATGCCCTAACTGCCCCCCTGGCAAAACTTTGCTAGATCCGCCCCTGCACAGTTACCAGCTGTCAGCTACTTAGAAAAGGATCCTGGTGTTATTTGTCTCTCAGAAACAGTTCATAACTTCAACTCATCCATGTCACCTAAAAGGTAAACCTGTTTCTCCATCACAGCTCTGATGATTCAGTAAGGACATCTCCTGGTTTCATCTTCATGTTTCCTCTCACCACATATCCAAACCGACATCATGACAGCAGCTTTTACAGCTGTGGCTCCAGCAAACATCAGCTGATACTAGAAATTAATATTAAATAAATTCTAACAACAGCTGATCAAGCTTAAACGTGCTGCTGTTTAACGCGACATCCGCTGGTTTCCTATTTCTGGCACAAAGTGGGCGATAAATAAACAAGAGAGACGATCAGCTGATCATTGATCAGTTTCATGATTGAAGTAGAAACAGGAGAGGGAGGGGAGAGAATGAGAGAAGAAGAGGCAGCTGTGCAGCAAAGACGCAGAATAACTCCAGCTTTGTGCCTTTTTTTTTTTCCATTGTAGCTGAAGTCCTGGACAAACTGTATTCTTTCTCAGCTCAACACGAAATGCATAAAATTTTCTCTGAATACGAGACGATTCTGTCTTTTTACGGGACGGTTGGCAACTCTACTAACTTATGAATAAAATAAAGTTCATGCTAGCTAGCACGCAGTACGAGTTATTGTAACTGACGGTAAAAAGTCAGCACAACGAAAATTAACTCCACCTAAACTTGGTTTATATCTGACCCAGATAGACTGCAGGTCATAACTTCTTACCTGAAGTTCAGTTCACCTGACACTCGGACCGGCGGCCGGCTTCGGGTCTCTGCCCTCCTGCCTCACCTTTCTCTCATCCACCCGCTGCCCTCCACCACTTGCTAATGTTACTGAATCTGTGGAAGCTCCGCCATAGCCACCACCAAACAACTGAGTTATTTTTATACACCGGCCAGCATCTGGCCAATCCACCACCTTTGATTGTTTATACCGTTACAAAAAAATAAATAAAAAATTATCGGCCCACCGAGCAAATGCCCGGTATGCCCGATGGCCAGTCCAGCTATGGTCGTGCCATCAGTTAACCCTTCACGTGCCAGCTGTGGCACACATGCCTAAGGTTGCCGACCCCTGATTTAGAAGTTGTGGACATTTCAAGCAACATGCCTTTCTTCAAAGACTGCGTAAGTAATCCTGGAAAACTTCCAAACCTTTATTTAGTGACAAACTGTTCTCACTGCACTCAGTTTCTGTTTCTACACCTGAGCCAGTCAAACCTGAATATCTGATCTGTTCATTCCTTTAGATGAGTCAGTACAAATGTTTTGTAGGCCTGAATAAAACCTTTCAAAGAGAATTTTCATCTCACTGACACTTCTGCTTGTTGCTTTTCCTTAGTAACTTTAGTGAAAAAATATGTAGAAATTCAGGAGGAGGAATCACTCGGTGATCAGGCCAATCATAATAGTTCATAAATGCATCCACAATACTGTGTAGTTAGATTTCCAGGGAGATTCAATTCAATTTTATTCATACATCACCAACTCACAACAACAGTCGCCTCAAGGTGCTTATATTGTAAGGCAGACCCTACAATAATATGCATGTCAGGTTACATTGTAGTGTTATAAGGATTATTTATAATGTTTCACTACAACACTATAGTGTTTATAGTGAAAGGTACAGGTTTGCTGCTGAAGCATAAATACACAGTTAGCCTTCAATCTGATGGATGTCATCACATGAAGCCAAAAGCTGAAGTATTATACAAATTACATTTTTGACTGGTTTGGCCTATTTGTTTGTTTTCAGGATTCTTCACTCAGTTTTGCACAGGTCTGGATGAAAATGTCATCCATGAGGTTTGGCTCAACTTTAAACTTGGAAGGATTATTTACCAATGTGGGATTTCACATTCTGACTTATATCAGAATCTAGTCAAGAACAGCTCTAGTTCTTTGTTACTTTGAAATTATTTTAAGGTTTGAGAAGATGGAACGATGGACCATAACCGTAATTTAGACGTATATTAACTTCACAGTAGTGCTCAGTGGAACTCAGAAAATGATCACTGTGGACATCCTCAGTCCTCTGATGAAGGGGAATGTCCTTCCATGACCGAAGCAACATCTGAACTCATTATTATTAAATGTATCCAGTCAAAGCTCAAGTGACTAATTCAGAACAGGATCTGTAAACTCAAACATAACATTATCAACATGAGGCGTGTATGAAATAACCAACAAGAGACTCACTGGAATTGTTGTATTGTTACTTTAATGCTCCTTCAAACTGCATTTGATTAGATTTAAAGTACAAAGTGACACCAGCAGCAGGAAAAACTATAACAGCAGCGCCCCCTTCAAAGACGTACAGTATTTTATATTATCTGACAGAGCTGATAGACTGAAGTTAAATTAAAACACCCAACTTCCCAGACATGTTGCACAGTAGGAGCATGGCTCTTTATGTAAATGTGATGAGGTATTCTGGGTAGGCCTGGATATCATTGAAGACCACAAACATGGTTGGTTTGGCAGTGTTATTTGTGACGCTGTCATACAGGTCTGAGTCACTCCCAGATTTGGGAGGAGGGGTGATCATGCCTGGTTGTCCTTGGGTGTAGTCTCCAACTAGAACTCTGGCCTGGTACATGTGCTTGTGTCCGCTGGTGTCGGGCGTTGCGTAGTTTCTTGCTGAATAGCAAGGGTCCGCAGCAAAGTAAGAGCCATTTCCGTACATTGCACCTGTGAACAGAGTGAACAAATTAACTGAATACTGGGTTTAATAGACAGACAATTTAAAGTGGAAATTAGAACGCTGCATCTCCACTGTGCTCCCTGTAAAATGACTGCAGCTCACACATTTACTTTACGACACAACAGATTTTAGAGACTGACTTGGATCCCAAACATGTCAAAATGTGGGGCATCCTTGTAAAACATCAAACAACTAGAATGAAACAGACACTTATCCTTAGAGCTGAGATCGGGGTCATAACAAATGTGTGTTATTTATTTTAGCACAACTATGGCCAGAGTTTAAACCTGTTCAGACCTTATCCTCTTGATGCTACATGATGTACATCCCCCATGCTCAGGTTGTTCATTAAAAAAGTGTGGGTGAAAAAAAGCATGAAGGAGTTGTTCTTTGAATGGCAAGATTCAGGCGATGATATCTGATTTAAATGCTTCCAGAAACACACATCAGCCCATCGGTCAAAGGTTCAAAACTGCTGCAGCACATCAGCTGTCTCCTTAAAATTGTGGTAAAAAAAAATAATAGTAATAAATACAAAAAAATGTACATAATTAGAGATGGACGATCTGATATTACGTATCGGTCAAATACTGACGTAAATTACTGGATCGGATATCAGAGAGAGAAAAAAATGTAATCCGATCCATTAAATATCAGAAAAGCACCTCACAAAACTTGCAACACGGCGTAACTCAGCTCATAACTGTAGCACGTCGCAGCAGTGTGTATTTGTAGCCTCGCTACCAAACCAGCATTTCATCTCTGAGGAAGTTTTCCCCGAGAGAAGTAAAGCAAGTGTGTAAGTTCATCTCTGAATGTTTGTAAAGCATTCCCACGTAAAGCTTAACAACCGATATATGGAGCGACTGCCTCTTCTTGCTGCTACTTCAATCATGAAACTGATCAATGATCAGCTGATCGTCTCTCTTCTTTGTTTTTGGCCCACTTTGCACCAGAAAGAGGAAACCAGCGGCTGAACAACAGCAGCATGTTTAAGCTTGATCAGCTGTTGTTAGAATTTATTTAATATTACTTTCTACACCAGGATCTTTTTCTATGCAGCTGACGGCTGTAACTGTGCAGGGGCGGATCTAGCAAAGTTTAGCCAGGGGGGCCGATAGGGCATGAACAGGGAAAAAGGGGGCACAAAGACATACTTTTCTTTCTTTTTCTCATTTAAAATGTCGAGCTTTTAATAAATAATTATCTGACACCCAAAGTTTTAATTTGATGTAAAATGAATAGAAGTTCAATTCAATTCAATTCAATTTTATTTATATAGCGCCAAATCACAACAAAAGTCGCCTCAAGGCGCTTCATAGATACAGAGAAAAACCCAACAATCATATGACCCCTATGAGCAAGCACTTTGGCAACAGTGGAAGGAAAACTCCCTTTTAACAGGAAGAACCTCCGGCAGAACCAGGCTCAGGGAGGGGCGGGGCCATCTGCTGCGACCGTTGGGGTGAGAGAAGGAAGACAGGATAAAGACATGCTGTGGAGAGACAGAGGTTATAACAGATATGATTCAATGCAGAGAGGTCTGTTAACAATAGTGAGTGGAGAAAGGTGACTGGAAAGGAAAAACTCAATGCATCATGGGAATCCCCGGCAGCCTACGTCTATTGCAGCATAACTAAGGGAGGATTCAGGGTCACCTGGTCCAGCCCTAACTATATGCTTTAGCAAAAAAGGAAAGTTTTAAGCCTGATCTTAAAAGTAGAGATAGTGTCTGTCTCCCGAATCCAAACTGGAAGCTGGTTCCACAGAAGAGGGGCCTGACAACTGAAGGCTCTGCCTCCCATTCTACTTTTAAATACTCTAGGAACAACAAGTAGGCTGCAGAGCGAGAGCGAAGTGCTCTAATAGGGTGATATGGTACTACAAGGTCATTAAGATAAGATGGGGCCTGATTATTTAAGACCTTGTATGTGAGGAGCAGGATTTTGAATTCAATTCTGGACTTACAGGAAGCCAATGAAGGAAGCCAACAGGAGAAATATGCTCTCTCTTTCTAGTCCCTGTCAGGACTCTTGCTGCAGCATTTTGGATTAGCTGAAGGCTTTTCAGTGAGTTTTTTGGACATCCTGATGATAATGAATTACAGTCGTCCAGCTGGAAGTAATAATGCATGAACTAGTTTTTCAGGCGTCACTCTGAGACAGGATATTTCTAACTTTAGAGATGTTGCGCAAATGGAAGAAAGCAGTCTTACATATTTGTTTAATATGTGCGTTGAAGGACATGTCCTGGTCAAAAATGACTCCAAGGTTCCTCACAGCGTTACTGGAGGCCAAGGTAATGCCATCCAGAGTAAGAATTGGTTAGATACCATATTTCTAAGATTTCAGGGCCGAGTACAATAACCTCAGTTTTATCTGAATTAAGAAGCAGAAAGTTAGCCGCCATCCAGGTCTTTATGTCTTTAAGACATTCCTGCAGTTTAACTAATTGGTGTGTGTTATCTGGCTTCATGGACAGATAGAGCTGGGTGTCATCTGCATAGCAGTGAAAATGTATGCTATGTTTCTAATGATGCTGCTAAGGAAGCATGTATAATGTAAACAGAATTGGGTCCTACCACTGAACCCTGTGGAACTCCATAATTAACCTCAGTGTGTGAAGAGGACTCTTCATTTACATGCACGAATTGGAGTCTATTAGATAGATATGATACAACCACTGCAGCACAGTACCTGTAATACCTACAGCATGTTCTAATCGCTCTAATAGGATATTATGGTCAACAGTATTGAACGCTGCACTGAGGTCTAGCAGGACAAGCACAGAGATGAGTCCACTGTCAGAGGCCATAAGAAGATCATTTGTAACCTTCACTAAAGCTGTTTCTGTGCTGTGATGAGCTCTGAAACCTGACTGAAACTCTTCAAATAAACCATTCCTCTGCAGATGATCTGTTAGCTGTTTGACAACTACTCTTTCAAGGATGTTTGATATGAAAGGAAGGTTGGAGATTGGCCTGTAATTAGCTAAGACTGCTGGGTCTAGAGATGGCTTTTTGAGTAAAGGTTTAACTACAGCCAGCTTGAAGGCCTGTGGTACATAGCCGATTATTAGAGATAGGTTGATCATATTTAAGATCGAAGAATTAATTAATGGCAGGACTTCTTTGAGCAGTTTTGTAGGAATGGGGTCTAAAAGACACGTTGATGGTTTGGAGGAAGTAATTATTGAAGTTAACTCAGAAAGATCAATTGGAGAAAAAGAGTCTAACTTAACATCAATGGTACTAAGAGTAACTGTAGATAATATTACATCTGTGGGATGATTATTGGTATTTTTTCTCTAATGATAAAAATTTTATTTGTGAAGAAGTTCATGAAGTCATTACTAGTTAACGTTAAAGGGATGGTTGGCTCAAAAGAGCTCTGACTTTTTGTCAGCCTGGCTACAGAGCTGAAGAGAAACCTGGGGTTGTTCTTATTTTCTTCAATCAGTGATGAATAGTAAGATGTTCTGGCTTTGCGGAGGGCTTTCTTATAAAGCAGCAAACTATTTCTCCAGGCTAAATGATGATCCTCTAGATTTGTGACACGCCATTTCCTCTCCAGATTACGAGTCATCTGCTTTAGGCTACGTGTTTGAGAATTATACCACGGAGTCAGGTACTTCTGATTTGAGACCTTAGTTTTCACAGGAGCTACAGTATCCAGAGTCGTACGTAGTGAGGAGGTGAAATTATTAACAAGATAATCGACCTCTGTTGGGGTAGCGTTCAGATAGCTGCTCTGCTCTGTGTTGGTACAGGGCATTGGAGATGATAACAGTGGGTGGATTATATTCTTAAACTTACTTACAGCGCTTTCAGAAAGACATCTACTTTGATAAAGTCTACTCTTCACCGCTGTGTAATCAATTATTGTAAATGTAAATGTTATCAGGAAATGATCAGACAGGAGAGGGTTTTCAGGAAACACTGTTAATGTTCAGGTTCGATGCATATGTTAAAACAAGATCTAGAGTGTGATTAAAGTGGTGGGTGGGTTCTTTTACAGTTTGAGAGAAACCAATTGAGTCTAATAACAGATTAAATGCCATGTCGAGGCTGTCATTTTTAGCATCTACATGGATGTTAAAATCACCCACAATAATTATTTTATCTGAGCTCAGAACTAAATTAGATATAAAATCTGAGAAATCAGACAGAAACTCTGTGTAAGGCCCAGGTGGACGATAGATGATAACAAGTAAGACTGGTTTCCGAGTTTCACAGTTGGGGTGGACAATGTTAAGCATCAGGCTTTCAAATGAATTAAAAGTCTGTCTTGGTCTTTCATTAATTAATAGGCTGGTGTGAAAAATTGCTGCCACACCTCCCCCTCGGCCTGTGCTTCGAGGTTTCTGGTAGTTAGAATGACTCGGGGGTGTTGATTCATTAAACTAACATAATCATCCTGCTGCAACCAGGTTTCTGTAAGGCAGAGTAAATCGATTTGTTGATCAATTATTAAGTCATGTACTAACAGAGACTTGGAGGAGAGAGACCTAATATTTAATAATCCACATTTCACTGTTTTACTCTTTGGTTCAGATGTGGGTACTGTATTGTTCTTTCTTTGTGATTGTTTATGTTTAAGTTGTTTGTTGCTGGTTTTAGTTTGTTTTTTGTCTTTTGGAAGCTGACACAGTCTCTATGAAGATGGGTTTTTGGGGGGGTAGCAGGAGGAGAGAAGCTGCAGAGAGGCGTGTAAGACTGCAACTCTGCTTCCTGGTCCCAACTCTGGATAGTCATATTTTGGGGGGTTTAATAAATTTGTCCATATTTCTAGAAATGAGAGCTGCTCCATCCAAAGTGGGATGGATGCCGTCTCTCCTAACAAGACCAGGTTTCCTCCAGAAGGTTTGCCAATTATCTATGAAGCCACATCGTTCTGGGACACCACTCAGACAGCCAGCAATTTAAGGAGAACATGCGGCTAAACATGTCACTCCTGGTCTGATTGGGGAGGGGACCAGAGAAAACTACAGAAGTCCATTACTGTATATAGTAACTGTTAAGTCTAATATACCCTAGTAAGCTATAGTACTTTTTCCATCTGTGCAGTTCTGTAGAAGAAAGATGTTGAATCTATTTAATTATTCTTGAAAAATAATTTATTTCTGTGCATTTTTTTTTCACACTGCATCAAATTAAAGTTGATTACGTCGATTATGTCACGGCTGGCGGGGTGAGCCGGTTGGTGTAGGAGAAAAAGGACCCAAAATGCAGGCAGTGGACTGGTGATGAGAGTGATGATTTATTTACAGAAGAGGAGCGACCGAACAGGCAGTGAGACAAGACAAATGACTGAAAAAACCTAGACTGGAAAAACTAAATGACAAACCTAAGCATGAAACGTGGGCTGAGAATGCAGAGAGACGTAGTTACACCAAGAAACACAGACGATATGACGATGAACAGAAGCCAACACACACTATAAATACACACTAGGTAATGAGGAGATGACATGCAGAGGTGGACACAGCTGACACTAATGGACACGATGAGAGGCAGACCTACAAAGTAAAACCGGAAACACACAGACTGTTTTACAACAAAACGCAGGGACCTGAACGGAGCACAGAGGGGAGACACAGCTGGGAGCAATTAGGCTAACGAGACAGGGGAGAGGTAAAACTGAACACACTGACATGAGACATGAACTTTCAGAATAAAACAGGAAACTAACAGACACAGAACCAGACAGGACACTGAACTTGACAGGCAGACTCATGAGCAGACACAATGACACCATGGACAGACAGAGGGAACACAGAGAGTGGGAGCAGGCAGGCAAAGAACAGAAACCTAACAAATGGCAAAGTCACAACAGAATACACACTCGGAATGAACAACAGCATAAGGAAACACAAAACACTGAGTCCTCAGACTCAGGACCATGACAGATTAAGCATCATGAGGTGGGGGATGGTTCCCTGTTTTTTTTTTTTTTGCTGGGAGTTTAGAGCCCTATTGGTTAGGTTGCTTACTCTTTAAAATACCAGAATAGGGAGGATGGAGCAGGTTTAAGTTTATTAGATTGATCAGTTTTGCTGAACTATAAAATATTTTGGGTGCAGTGTGTTTTTTGCATACAGGTTTAACGGAATAGCTTTAGTGGTTTTTTTTAACTTGAGTTTGAACTTATACAAAATGCAGCAAGATATTAAAAAAATAAACAGTTTTATTGATTAAAAACACACTATATCGCATTCATATTGGTATCGGCAGATATCCAAATTTATGATATCAGTATCGGTATCAGACATAAAAAAAGTGGTATCGTGCCATCTCTATATATAATGTATTTAATGTTTTTATGGGGGAAATAAGTACATGTAATATTTTCCCCATTTCATGGTTGTCCATTTAACCTAATGTTTTTGAGTGGATGCAGTGACTGAAACAGATACAGTGACCTGTGACTCAAGGACAGCGTACGGCCTTCCTACCAGTGACTTTATGAAGTAATGAAAAACTGTGTGACTGAAGATGTGTGGATCATCACACTTACACTGCACCATGCTTTTTCAAATCTCCGACACGAGAAGCTGTGATTACTTACCTCATTTACTTCATCAGCACTTAATTTTGAATAAATGTGTTGCAATGTTAAAATGTGTACTGTGTGTGATGGCTTTACCATTTTTTCCTGCGTAGCTGCGGTTGAAGCCTTGTTTGTTGATCAGATGGATGGAGGTGTCAGTGGTGCCGTGAAACAGAAGCAGTTCATTGTTTGGTTTTATTCTTCACCTCCATTTGTTTCTTCATGATCTGGTAGTTCTGCCACAGTGACGGATTTTGGACTCGTTCGATCTGCCGACGTAATCCAAACACATCATGTTGGTGATTTTCATTGAAGTACAATAACTGTCCTTACCTCTGTGTCTGCTCTCTAATGATTGTTGACAAAGTATTTATAATTTATTCAACATTCAAATTCTGCTGGCTTGAAATGATCCAAGGTGGCAAAGTCAAGGCTTCAAACTGGGAATGGAAAACCAGTGGGTGATGTCACATGTTTAGGTCCAACACTACAGTTTATGCCAAACCAACTGAAGTTGAAGCTGAGACTTGGGAACTAATTTACTCTCCTTTTGTTTTCAATTATATAAAAAATATAGAATACTTCTGTGTACATCATACAGTCTGGTCCATGTATTTATGACTGAACATACACTGATGATGTTGAGGTTGAGTCCGGTCTTCGTCAGTTCCTTCTTCACATCGTTGTATTCATTAGATGCTGGAGCCACAGCAAACAACTTCAGCAGGTCGCCCTTCATGTCCTCCCAACAAGAAGGCAAAGGCAGAGCGCTGGTACCTGAAACAGCTATTATAAGTGTTCAAACAATTTAATTCCACACAAACAGTGTATATGTGCAACAGGCTCTGCTTACAGTTTCAATGGAAAATATCAAAACAACACTGTGGGACTGTGCTCATTAGTTTGTTTTATAAGCTACAGCTATTCAGCTCAGTTTTCCTGTTCATTATAACATTTTAAGCAAGAATTCAATTTAAAAACTCACCATTGAAACTTTTCAGCCTTTTCTTGGTCTAAATAGCATTGAAAATTATTATATTGTTTATAAAATGATTAACTAAAGCTGTTTTAATTATTCTAATATATACACAATGTGACTGTGCTCATAACGAGTTGGCGGTTGGTGTTTTGAAGGTCATAAGCTTCATCCAGCATGATAACTGGGCTGAAATATTGCAGGATGACGTAGAGCAAAGCTGCATGCTTAGGCATACACATGATAAGGGTTAGAAATAGACTGGGTCAGGGAGCCCAAACAAGATGTTGTGAATGGAGCCTTAGAATCTCTTCAGCCTATGGTTTGGTTTGATGGAAAACGTTGGACACATTGTTCTGTGTTCTTCCAGCAGGTTAAATGAGGACTACGTGCACATTAATGACTCACCTTTCAGGTCTTTTCGATGGAGCTCCACGTCATTACGTCCGTTGCTGAACTGCTTTTTCACGCTCTGGGTCGGCGGTGTACGCGTCATTGTTGATCTTGATCTTTGCTTTTTGTTTAGTCTTGAAAGCTTCCTCGAGGGTGAGGTTGGTGTTCAAGTCAAAGGCCACCATTGACCCATTATGGTCCTTAAATCGCCATTCCACCTGCTCACTCATCTCCAAGGCCTTTTTCATCAAGGCCTCCGCCCGCTCCACCTTACGGATGATGTCCCTGATGGTCATCAAATAAAAAGGTAAAGCAACACTTTAACATGTAACATGTTAAACCTAAGAATTAATCAGTGTTGGGACTAACACGTTATTAAGTAACGCGTTACAGTAACTACGTTATTATTGTGGTAACGAGCACGGTAACTAGTTATTATGCCAAAACCGGGTACACGTTAGTCGTTACTGGGATTTAGATAGGCTCGTTATTCGTTACTTCGTGTGGTGGCTATCGCGGAGCTTCCACAGATTCAATAACATTAGCAAGTTGTGGAAGCCAGCAGGTGGATGAAGGAAAAGGGAGGCAAGAGCAGAGACCCGAAGCGGCCGCTGGTCCGAGCGTCAGGTGAACTGAACTTCAGGTAAGAAGTTATGACCTGCAGTCCATCTGGGTCAGATATAAACCAAGTTTAGGTGAAGTTTATTTTCGTTGTGCTGACATTTTGCGTACTGCGTGCTAGCTAGCATGACGGAGTTTCTATACAGCTGGGTGGTGCTATGTACTGATGTTGAACTTTATTTTGTTCATAAGGTTAATTATTAGAGTTGCCAACCGTCCCGTAAAAAACGGAATCGTCTCGTATTCAGAGACAATATTACACGTTTCTTATTGAGGTGAAAAGGAACAGTTTGTCCCGGACTTCAGCTACAATGGAAAAGACAAAAAGCTGGATTTATTCTGTCTTCTCACCCCCCCTCTCCTGTTTCTACTTCAATCCTGAAACTGATCAGTGATCAGCTAATTGGCTTTTCTCTCTTACTCTCTCTTACTTTGAAAGTAACGAGTTACTAGGGAAAGTAACTGAGTTACTTTTGATAAAAGTAACTACTAATGTAACTAAGTTACTAATTTAAAGTAACTTACCCAACACTGGAATTAATGCATGTCAATGGTTTATGTGGCTTTCCTGTTTTCTGACCTGACTGCAGACTCAGCAGTGTAGACATCTCTGGTCAGACCCTCCAGGTGGATCTCCGGGTCCTGGTCCTCTGCTCCTTTGTCCAGGCGGATGCTGACTGTCAGTTCTCTCTGCAGAGCCTTCAGCTTTTCCATGTCAGCCTGTGACAGCTGACTAATGCAGGGGTCAGAGATGGTTTTCTGTGCCTGCTCAGTCCGAATCTCCTCAATAATCCTCTTCTTGGCCTGACTCGCTGCCTGCAGCATCAGACAAATGTATGTTAATAACAGAGATTTAAAGACAATAATTTTATTTTTATTCTACTGAGTGTACTGGAATTATATCTTCTTGACAACAAGACCAGCAGTTACTTCAACATGGTGTCTCTGAATATAGTATTGGTTGCTCAGAGACAAGCAAAGATTTTGGCTTTCATCAGAATCAGAATACTTTATTGATACCTAGGGGAAATTATCTTTATACATGATCTATATTTACGATGGTAGTGAACCTCACTGTGATGAAAGACTTGATGAAGCTGAACTCTGAAGGAACTGTGGATTCATTCTCTAACAATGTTTTCTGAACTTTCGACCAAACAAGGAAATCTATTTCTCTGCTGCTTTTGTTATTTATGCTAAACTAGCCTCGAGCTCTGCATTACACATGTAGGAAGATCTGAGATCAATATTATTAACAGGAAGTGACTGTGTGTAATAATATATTTATACATGACTTCTGTAGGTTTGTAACTGCTCTGTTGTCTCATTTTAACTGATAAAGAGAATATTTAAAGAAAGGGTTCATTGTAAAATGCACCGACTTCTGTCTAGAAACCAAAACCAAGGAAAATCATAAAGTGAATGAATTTGTACCTTGTGGTTATCGGCACACAGCTGAAGCACTATGGGCTCAAACTCCTCCCTCTTCAAGACCAAGTCAGAAGCACTGATTTTTTCTGCTCAGAGCCCAAAAAACAAAGTTAGAGTATGAAATGGCTCAAAATTACACTGTGTTGTATTATAGCAAAGACGTTTTGTGGTCAGATCGGATGTTACGTGGATTAACAAGGTTTGTGTCAGGTGTTAAGAAACCAGAACACTGATGAGAAGGCAGAAGTGGGCAAGGGATGAGAACAGCACCCTTGAAGAGCATGTGGGACATGTGGAACCTTTGATACCCAACATCCAGCCTGATGGCAAAATAACTAGTAGCTCAGTGTTCCAACAAGGAACCAGGCGAGATGTCTTCCCCCCCACATGAGATTGAGTACCAAGTGTAAATTCCGGTTCTTTGGATTCTTAGGGCCAAGAAAGACATGGCTCAAAAGTGGTCTTTTTACTTTAAAAATTTATCTTTATTTTACATATCCGGATATGGAGACCTTAGCACACAGCACACAACCAAAGGTCTGAAGCACAAACGGAAGCCTAGGTATTTATATACTTGCTCTCTAGTGTGCATCAAACAGCCTAGTTGGTTTCACTTTCACTTCATTCTAGCTGCAAAAGCATGCAGTTTCCTGTCAGCAACAGACTGGAGAGATGTAATTGGACTTTAACAAACAGAGAGAAGGTAATCAGAACTGAGGGGATTGTACTGGCAGCAGGCACCACTGAAAAATTTAGAGACAGCTACAAGTACCTGGGAATCCCACAGGCAAGTGGGAACCATGAGGAGGCTGCTAGGAAAGTCACAACTAGGGATGGGTACCGGTACCGGTTCTGACATAAACGGTAGTAACCAGTCCGAAAAGCAGCGCACATTTCGGTGCTTTATTTCGGTGCTTTTTTTTCCTGAGATGTGATACACTTTGGATTCTAGCCAATCATTTATGTTCCGAGGATAGTAGCGGTCCAGGTACGTATGTTCTTTTAGAGCAGAGCTACAGATTAAAAATGTCCAAGGCGAAGCGGTCAAAGTCTGGCTGTACTTCACAGCAAAAGATGCAAACTCAGCAGCAACAAGTGCTTTAAGCTGATACTGTGATACTGTGCAAAGGAGGTAACACCTCAAATCCGATGAAACACCTGGCGACGCATAGCGTTTTTTTTAAAAGCCGAAAAATGCGCCGTATTTGATAGCTTGCTGCGAGACCTCACACCGAGCACATCTACTGCGGGTGTGGTGCCTGTTATCGGACCCGGAGTTAGCAACATCCCCCAAAAACCCGAGGAGGAAGAGTCCTGGCCCCTAGCCCTGCCAGTGTAGCAGAAATGATGAGGATGATGATGCAGCAGCACCGTTCTTCTCTGCGTGAGTAGCTTAATGTTGTTCGTGTGTAATTTACGTTGAGTAGGCTAACCACGTTATTACATTAATGCATGTAAGGTGAACTAGCAAACATCATCATAGCTACATGCGGCTGTCTTCTGTTGATGGCAGATGCTCCCTTCACCTGGCCAAAAGGCTAAAATGACCAAAGAAAAAGTGGGAAACAGTTAAACATGAGAGGTTTTTGGACAAAGTTTGTGCTTTTTCATTGGTTAAGCACTGCTTCCAGCCAAGAGTGATACCATATATGCCCTATAGCTGCAGAAAAGGCTAACATTGTTAGCTTTATGAAACCTTTAAGAAAATAAAGCTGTTTGCTACAGTTTTTTAACCTGGAGTCCACATATGTGGACATCACATTTTGGGTTATTTTGACCAAAATACTTAATTTTGCTCTACAAGGGCCTGATATCCAGTTACGAGGACATTATACTGCTACTGTTCTATCAAAATTTTAAATGAATATCCTCATATGTGGCTCTCATTTTTCTTAGAAACAAAAATCAGGTATAAAAAACCCCCAATCTGGTATACATTTATCGGGCCCCAATATGCCCAAATATCAAAGAGAAATTTAAAATGCATGCTGTGGAAGAGAATGGGTCTTAAACCAATTTCTCTTCTTAGTTCCAATCAACTAACCGTGATGTTAAAAGGTGGTAAAGATGTAGCAGCTTTACCACCTTTGGTTTGGACTGTTTTTTTTTTTATTTGTTCCGTCAAAAAGAGAAAAAAACATTACATTGTGATACCTTCAGTTTTGTCAACAACAGTCTTCTCCTCCACCACCTCTCCTTGTCTCTTTTCCATTCTCGTGTGAAACTCTGTCAACATGGTTGTCTGGAAGATCAGGATCCTCACACTCTGAACAAAACTCGGCTGTTTCTTCTCCACAAACTCCATCACTGCATCAACCATGGCATCAGCCACTGTTGAAGGGCTGACCCCTCCCTGACCTGACAGGCAGAAACAGAGCAAACATTCAAGATTCAGCTTAATTCAATTTTATTTATATACCATCAAATCACAACAACAGTCAGGGATGAGGGGAGGCAGATAGGGCATGTTGAAAGGGAATTTTTCTTTCCACTGTCACCAAGTACTTGCTCATAGGGTATAGTCTGATTTTGGGGGTGTTCTCTGGATTGTTTTAAGGCCTTTACCTTACAATATAAGGCAGCTTGAGGGAACTGTTGTTGTGATTTGGCTCTATATAAAAAAACTGAATAAATGAATGAATGAAAAATGAATTAAAAAAAGATGTTAATCTCAATACATGTTTCTTAAAAACATCATATGTGGAGTGTTAGATGTGCAGTGTTCAAGGCTGTAACAACTGATTTATTAATTTGGTTAATGTCTCATTTAAGACACACATGCTGGTCAAGGAAGCCTGAAGGATGTAGCAGAGGTGGTGACCACTCGCTGGGATTGTATTCGTAGCACAGTTAGCTGATTTAGCCACATACTGGTATAATCTAAGATCACACAGACGCTGCAGAAGGAAGCTGGTTAGTTAGTGTGTCTTGGCTTTGTATGTGACGCAGTCTCTGTTCTGACTTTAGCTTTGTAAGAGTGGTGTGAAGTAAGGATACTTCACATTGCTGCTCATTGAATGAATTGCATAAATGGTAAATGGCCTGCATTTGTATAGCGCTTTTCTAGTCCATAGGACCCCAAAGTGCTTTACACTACATTCAGTCATTCACCCATTCACACACACATTCACACACTGGTGATGGCAGCTACATTGTAGCCACAGCTGCCCTGGGGCGCACTGACAGAGGCGAGGCTGCCGGACACAGGCGCCACCGGGCCCTAGTTGTACAGACCTGTTCCCAGGGCTGGGAAGGCGACAGAGCTGAACTTGTTCTCCTCGCAGACCTTCAGCACCGAGTAAACCGTGTTTTTAATGCTTGCAGGGTCGTTCTGGCCGACGACGTGGACGATGTTCCTGCTGGGCAGCTGCCCGGCTGATGTCAGGATCATTGCAGGAGGCTGAGCTGTGGAACTCACTGCAGAGAGGAAACAGCTTTATGAATGTGAAGCATATTGAGTCTAAAAATGAAGTAAAGTGGCTTTGGTTTCATGTACACACCAAGCTGAGCGCACTCCTGCTCAACTGTTACTCCAGCACCGTCTAAGATTGCCTTGGACACTCCTGAGAAGCAATAAGAGGAGAGCAACAGGTCCAGTAGGGAAGTAAGTGAGTAAAATTTTATTTATCTAGCACCTTTCGAGACAAAGATCACAACAACATACTGGAGCATAAAAAAGTCAGACGTCATGTTACACTAGAATGGACATTTTAAAGATATGTTTATTTTCACTGTTAAATAGTTTTATACACACACACACACACACACACTCAATGCTCACCTGCTTTAAGGCTAAAGTTCTGATTGGACGAGTTCACAATAACATCAGTGGACTCTTTGGTGATGTCACCTGATGACACCTCAAGGGTAAGTTGACCGATCTGCTTCTGGTACACACCGAGGGAGGGGGGCAAGACTGGGAGAGAGGAGGCTGACACACACGTATTCACACATTTAAGTTTTCACACCAATTTAAAATCAACAGTTATCCTAACACGTGCAGCCTGTGGGAGGAAGGTGGAATACCCGAGTGAAGATTTGAACCCAAGGCCTCCTCCACTATGTCGAGGTATGTAAGAGGTGGTGGAGGCCTATGTGGAGGAGGCCTCCTCCACATAGGCCTCCACCACCTCTTACAGGTTTATTTCTTAAATTATGTTAAATTTGTTGAGGCAAGAATTGTTGATAACTGTCCACCCAGTACAATTCACATGACGTGATAATCAACAAAACTGTTTCCCTTCTTCTGTTGCATAACACCTGCTTATAGGTGAGAGTTTCTAAATAACCTGTGAACATCAGGTTAAAAAGGGATTCTGCTCTTTGGAGTTCTGATGGTTCTTACCTGAGGAGCGCTGTGATTGGTCGACAGCCTGTTGAGCTGGTACCTCATGAAAACCACGTGCTTCATGTTGGACGTTCCCCTGAGCGGTGAACCCTCTGGTGAAACACTGATAATATATTTCATGTGTTACGTTCATGCTGGTGATTTGTTTTCTCAGCACTGATGAAGCTGCTGTAACTGCAGCTCAGTGCACTGGAAAGTTTAGAGGAAAAATACAATTTAATGTTTCATCATTTTAAACCTGAAGGTGGTTTTAATTACATTTTATGGAGGAGGATAATAGGATGTCTGTGTTACTCTGTGCTTTCACTCACTAACAGGATGGGTTCGCTCGTCTTTAGTGGTCACTGTCAGAACATGATAAGCACTTAAACACTCTCAGCTCCTATCAAAGAGTCACAAACTCACATCCACGGTTTGGCTGTCACTGGGGTGAACGACGATGACCACCTCTCTCAGACAGCGAGGATTTCTGCTGCTGCTGTACGAGCGGATCTCTCTCAGCAGGAGTTTGGACACCAGGGCTCTGGGGAAGCTCAGGTTTCCTGTCCCGATGGCTGGAAAGGACAGTGATGCCATCTGGCGTTTCTCAGCCTCCTCCAGACAGTATCTGATGATGGACGTTAACTCCTGACAGAGATAAGATGGAGAAAGTGAGGCTGGACTTCAGTGACTGGGTTACAAAGAGCATGGTGCATGAACTCTCAGGAACAACAGTGTCCTTTTCATTGGAAGTTACTTAAATGATCAAATGCATTTCCTGGTGTTTCAGACATTTCAGACAGAATATGTGATATATTAATGCAAATTGGTTACTTGTCATTTAATCTTTAAAGATTTTACAAACAATTCCATGAACATGACCCCTACACTGTGAATCCCCAATAAAAACTGTTTTTATGCATCAGAGGTCATTTTTCTGCACAGTTTCACAGCTCACATAAAAATGTGGGTAAGTGACATTTTCAATGTAGGTCAAATATTTGTAGTTTATTTATTTTTTATTTAGAACTGATGTCTACATCTGCATCTAAAACTTCCTAATTAAAGAGTTGCAGGTGCAGTTGTGATTTGAGACCATTGTATATCTTTTTAACATACACGACTCTCAATTCTGTCGTTCAGCTTCTCTTTATTCTTTCTGAAGCATTCTGGTTGTTGTCTGTGTCAAGCTATGATATTTTTTCCCCAAAATTCTGGGGGCTCATGGGAATAATACAAAAGTGAAATATTCAATTTAAAAAGTGCTGTCCTTAAATATTGAAGCATATAAAGTGAACCACATGATGACTGTTAGGTTAGATCATCCGTGCGCATTCTTACAGATTCATCCATCTCTGGACCGATGTTAAAGTTAAATAAGAAGCCTCACCTCCTCTGCTTTGCCACCTCCATTGTCCCATGATGGACAAACGGCATGAAAGACTTTCTGGCATGTGAGGTTGTAGCCGTCTGTGACGACGACATTGCCGGATGGCAACTTGGACCCTGTGGCTGCAGAGTAGATGGCGTCCTGCAGGCTGCTCCCAGCCGCTGACAGGATGGCTTTGGACACAGCGCCCTGGTTCAGGTTCATGTCCTCTGAGATGGTGTTGACAATGGCATCAGTCTGTGGAACAAAGGTTAAATCACAAAAACTTTCATTTTAAGTAAAAATAGTTCAGAAATTTTTCTTTAAAAAGGCATAGGCACTAAATGACTGCAGATAACACTGCACTACAGTGAATACAAAAGCTGTGCTGCATAAAAACATTGTCATTTAAATTCTTGATTATATGACTAGATACGTGTTGTCAGCCAGTGCATCTTTGTTTTCATTGCTATGGCTCATTGACTATATTTCCTAGTGATGTTAGCCTTCTGATATTTTCAATATGGTTCATTTGATGAAGATAATTTTAGGGTATTATCTTAGGCAAGCTGGCCTGTTAACTGTGAGTTTTCTACTTTTTTAAAACAGTTTATTAGTTTAATGTATCATTAAAAATCTATGCCAAAAGTTGATTCTGTTCATCTGGATGTTTTCAGGTGACTGCAGGTTTCCGGCCTTATATACAGTACATCTGCATAATGACTGAAACTAGCACCACTGAATGAACAATGGGCTGGGAGGTCAGTTCCTTGATCATTTATATGCAAATTCTCATGAACATTGATCAACAACCACTGATCAATGGCCATGAGTACCATGGGAAAAGGGAAAGACCATGTCTGAATCGAGGAGGGGGCCTATGGGTATAGCTTTCGCCATCTTACAATGCTGTGATTGCAGCCATTCCCCAACTCTCTGTGAATGGGACTCATGGACCTTGATCAGTGGTCTTTGATCAATGATTGTTATGTTTGCTTCTGTATTGGCTTCCCTTCATTGGCTTCCTGTTAAATCCAGGATTCAAAATCCTGCTCCTCACATACAAGGTCTTAAATAATCAGGCCCCATCTTATCTTAATGACCTTGTAGTACCATATCACCCTATTAGAGCACTTCGCTCTCGCTCTGCAGGCCTACTTGTTGTTCCTAGAGTATTTAAAAGTAGAATAATAATAATAATAATAATAATAATAATGGATTGGATTTTATATAGCGCTTTTCAAGGCACCCAAAGCGCTTTACAATGCCATTATTCATTCACTCTCGCATTTACACACACTGGTGGAGGCAGCTACAGTTGTAGCCACAGCTGCCCTGGGGCAGACTGACAGAAGCGCGGCTGCTGTATCGAGGGGCCGATGGCGCGAATGGGAGGCAGAGCCTTCAGTTTTCAGTCCCCTCTTCTATGGAACCAGCTTCCATATAGTTACAGCTGGATCAAGTGACCCTGAATCCTGTTATTAATCTCTGTCTCTCTTCCACAGCATGTCTTTATCCTGTCTTCCTTCTCTCACCCCATCCCAGACCTTCCCAAAGTGTGGGGCCCGCCCCCTAGAGGGGGGCATGGAATGAAAAGGGGGGAAAAAAAACCACTGCTAGCACGGGGCGCCTACAGAAATGCAAAGCAGGAGATGAAGCATCGCTGAATATGTTTCCAAACCAACTTCATTCTAAGCCAAAGACTAGAAAATATGCTGAAGCTAATCTGCCCTTTGGTTTCACCTGCACGAGTGCCGAGGCAGGTCTCCCTGCAGGATTGGTTTTCCCTTCGTCGGGAGCAGCGCTGGGCTCTTCAAACCACGGACAAACAGGATCCCACATTCTTGATTTTTAGTTCACAAACACTTGTGGACGAAACAGCTGCGTTTTCAAAATCACCCGTGTAGGTGTTGACGTAGCGTAAAAGAGTTAGTAGTTTATTTTATTACTACCTGTCATTTATTGCAGATTACTTGTATTTGCTTAATTGTTCACTAAATGTTTGAGGTGTGAAATAAACCGCAATGGAGCAAAATATGGGTGTGTGTGGTTGGAGGATGTGTATGTGCGTGCGCGCGTGCTCGTGGGGGGCATGAGCATTTTTCTTGTAAAACAAAGGGGGGCCCAGCAAAAAAAGTTTGGGAACCACTGCCCCAACCGGTTACAGCAGATGGCCCCGCCCCTCCCTGAGCCTGGTTCTGCCAGAGGTTTCTTCCTGTTAAAAGTTCCTGAATTCCTGAATTGAATTGAATTGAAAATGACTACATTCAGCGACAAAAGGATAAATTGGTTTGACCAAATCCCCATATGATCTCATACGCAAGTATTGTGTATGAAAAAAATTGGCCTGCAACTTAAATTCTGCATTTCTGCAATTCTGATTTCTCCACCTGGGATAGAAAGCCAAGGATATGAAACGAGGATTCTCAGAATTTTCAAAAAATTAAACTGAAATGAGCAAATTTTGAGTCATGTTTGAAACATGTCACACCGCCATGTTAGTCAATTATCAACATAAGCTTTTGAGCAGGAATCACTTGATTTTTGAATGTGTAATAGGTATCATGGTACCAATATGTGTGATGAGCTTGAGTGTCTGTGTTAAGCTCATTTGGCCCTGTAGTGAATGCCGCTATGATGTTCAGTAGAACTGTGCAAAACTAGGAAAGATTGCAAAAAAGAATTAAAAACTATAAAGATATGACACAAAATCTAATAAACCAGTATTAAGATTTTATTCTGGTTTATTTACATATATCATCTAAATCTATACTTTCATGTTAGTTCTAGTCCAAATTTAGCATATAATATGGTTCTTTATATTTATATTGTGGTCTACATGGCACCACAGGTACTCACAGTCTGGTCCTGAATGTTTCCCTTGCATAGAATGATCTTTAGGCCCTTAGCTGTGGTCTGCTCCAACCTACATCCAATGAGATAACAGGACTTTTAATGTCAAGTCAAGTCATCTTTATTTATATAGCACATTTAAAAGACATCAAGTGTCGGCCAAAGTGCTGAACAGAGGGATAATATAATAAAAGAATTAAAATAGAAAGAAAACATTTTTAAAAAAGAATTGTAAGACATGTAAGAGTATATAGCATATAATGTACATGCAAATATGCACATATATATACAAAACTGTACACATTCACACACAAGCACACATATGTGAACATAACATATATACACATACAACACCATTCAATAAGATAAGAGGCCAAATAGACAGAATAAAAAAGGATATCAAAGAGATCCGAAAGCCTTGGAAAATAAGTAGGTCTTGAGATTCGATTTAAAGACTTCCAAGGATGAAGAGAATTTTATGAAGGGGGGAAGACTATTCCAGAGTCTCGGGGCGGCAATGGAGAAAGCCCTGTCACCTCTAGATTTGAGCTGGGAGCGTGGAACTGGGAGCGATTTGGGTCACGCAAATCGTTATAAAATAATGTCACCAAGAGTATGATAAAATGAAAAAGTGGAAAGCGAAGATGAAGAACCTTACCCTCCATGCTCTCCAAGACTGGTGTGTTGCTTGGGGCTCCATCCTCCCCTGTTACCCTGATGATTTCCACGGAATCCACCTCCTCTTCCTCCACCACCTCCTCTTCCTGGTTCACCTCCTCTTCCTCCTTCATTAAACCAACGGACGCTGTGTGACTGGTTCTGACCTCTACCTCGACTCCACTGATATCTGCTGGGAAGCAATCAATTTTTTATACAGGTTCCGTCTGACATTCAGCCTACATAATGCATCTTCGTATTTGGGCATTAAGCAACGGCCAGTATTAAAGCTATGGGAATCATAGCTTAATATAATTTTTCTTATCTGACTTGGCATCATTAACTCGGCCCTGGCAAAATTCAGTGTTTTTTAGTCTAAGGAGCTTGGAAAGAAAAGCGTCTGGACTTGTTTAAATTGCTTGAAGACGTTTCACCTCTCATCCAAGAAGCTTCTTCAGTTCTTCAGTGTTTTTACAATGTATTGTTTTGCTTTGTTTCGTCACAGAGGTACAATGTGTACCATCTACACCAGACAATTTCTGCTCAGAATCTGGAAAAACAGCACAATTTCCATGACTAATCTGCCAACAGAGAAACTTTGGAGTCTGGGTTTGTTAACTCCCGCACTCCCCACCAAGGCAGTGAGGCTGCTCTAATGCAAGCACTGCACACATAAACAAAAGCGAGGAAAGCATGCCAGCGCTAGCGCTAGGCGAAAGGCTAAACTGTTCCAACCAGCACTTCCATCCATCCTGCTCTGTAACGTTCGCTGCTTGGACAGTAAAATGGATTATCTGTGGCTCCAGCATTTGACCCAGTGTGAAGTTAAGAACTATTGTGTTTTCATCCTCGCAAACATGCCTGAACATGGACATTGCTGACTAGGCTATCCAGCTAACCGGGCTAGCATGCTATCGAGCCGACAGAAAAGCCTCCTTGTCTGGTTAGAGCTCGGGCGGTGGTTTGTGCATCTACATCAACAAACTGTGGTCCCCAAATTCGGCTGAAGTGAGTCTTTAATTGGACAGTGTTGCCCATTCTACCTACCAAGAGAGTTTTCCTTGATACTTGTTATAGCAGTGTCTCACACCAATACTAACTTGGCACTAGCAGAACTGTCTCATGCTATCAACGAGCTCCAGACTGTGCACAAGGAAGGCTTTTTTGTCGTAGCCGGCAACTTCAACCACGCAAACCTCAAGACAGTTCTCTCCAAATTCCATCAACCAAGAACTTCCCAAGCAGAGGAGAGAACTGCCTGGATAAAGTGCACCAACGTGCACGGGGCCTACAAGGCAGCTGTGCGCCCGCAAATCGGCACATCACCATGGCACTGTGATGCTGCTGCCCACATACATATTACTACTGAAACGCACAAGACCTTCCAGAAAAACTATCAGAGTCTGGCTAAGTGAGGCTATCTCAGCGCTTCAGGACTGTTTTGAGTGCACAGAGTGGAACATGTTTAAAAAGATGGACCTGGACAAGTTCACTGAATCTGTGACCTACTACATCAGTTAGTGCTCAGGGGATATAACGGTCTCCAAAAACACCAAGACAAGAGCCAATGAGAAGCCCTGGTTCACTGCAGCAGTACGTGCATGTCTGAGAGCGAGAGATGCTGCTGTCCAGTCTGGAGATAAAACAGCTCTCAGAACAGCCAGAGCCAACCTCTCTCGTACCATCCGACAAGCAAATTGCACATGCATAAAAGATCCAGAGCCACTTCCACAACACAAAAAGACTCTTGCGGGTTATGGCAGGGCATTCAGGCCATCACACAGTATAAGCCTGCACCAAGCAGCTGTGATGGAGGTACCACACTCCCTGAGGAGCTGAACAAGTTCTACGCACAGTTTGATACACTGAACAACACACAAGCAAAGAAACCCACACACCCCCACCACCAACCAGACCATCTCTCTGCCTGCAGCCGACATGAAAAGATCTTTCACCAAGCTCAACCCACAGAAAGCTGCTTGACCAGACAACATCCCAGGTCGTGAGAGACTGTGCTGATCAGATGGCTGATGTCTTCACAGACATCTTCAACTCATCACTGAGCCAGATGGCTGTCTTAACGTGATTCAAGTCCACTACCATCATCCTGGTGCCAAAGAAATCCTCTACCATCCCAACGCCCTGACCCCTATCATCATGAAGTGCCTCGAGAGACTTGTCATGGCACATGTGAAAAGCAACCTCTCTTGCTCACTGGATCCACTGCAGTTTGCATAGTGGCCATTTCCACTGCACTTCACCTCTCCCTCTCCCACCTGGACAAGAAAGACACCTATGTCAGAATGCTGTTCATAGACCTTAGTTCAGCATTCAACATCATTATCTCCCAAAAACTGTTTGACAAACTCAGCAAGTTGGGTATGAGCACCTCTCTCTTTAACTGGATACTAGATTTCCTGTCAGAGAGGCCTCAGTCCAAATCAGCAACAACATCTCCAGCATCATCAGACTGAGCACAGGAGCTCCTCAGGGCTGTGTTCTTAGCTCACTGTTGTCCACCCTCCTGACAGACGACTGCACCGCCCTATACAGCTCTAACAACATCATCAAGTTCCCTGACGACACAACCGTGGTTGGACTCATCAGCAGCAACGACTCATCAGCGTACAGAGATGATATGGTGTTATTTTAGTGCGTGCGTAAAAAAAAGTTGCAAGCGCAAATGTTGTATGTTGAAGAGAAAATTAGTTTGAGCAACCACATGAGCCAAAGTGGGAGAAATGGTAATAACCCCGGGCGCATGCGCACGCAGCGACCGGGAGTGAATGAGAGCTTGGCGTCCTAAGTTTTTAAGTTCTTATCGTTTCTTTTTGTTTCTATTGCTGGCATGTGTTTTGGTTGAAGGAAGTGACAGTTTTCTTACAAAGTGACACATGCTCCACAACAGTGAGAACATCATGGATTCTTTTTTCTTCATTGTGGTTGGATTTCTACTGTGCTGGCTTGTTTCCATGGATGTTACTAGCTCTTATGCAGTATTTTGTAAAGACATGATTATACCTTGTAAGCACGTTAAACTGTACGCTAACAATAAGTCATGGGTCACCAAAAGCGTCAAAGAGACAGGCCTTTAAAGAGGGGGCTGTTACTGATTTTCAGACAGCCACCAAGGAACTGAAAATCGAGATCTTGAGAGCAAAACAGAGCTACAAAAACCTTCTTGAAAGCAAATTTGCTGCAAAAAATTTTGGGTCTGCCTGGAATTGTATGAAAACCATAGCAGGGTTTCAAAATCCCCAGAGCAGCAGTCAGATCATTTTAGATGGTTTTAATTCAGACAGAGATTTTGCAAATGCTTTAAATATGTTTTATGCTCGTTTTAGTTCTTCTGATTTTAGCGAGGATATTTCTGAACTGAAACAGAAACTGAGAGATACTCAGCACTTTATCATTGAACTCAGCGATGTTAAAAAGGCCTTTCATACAGTCAATGTGAACAACAGCCAGGGTCCTGATAATATTAGTGGCCGCCTAATTAAATCTTGTGCTGACGAACTCAGTCCTATATTTCAGGTTATTTTTAACAAATCCTTGCAAACACAACATGTGCCCTCTCTTTGGAAAGAAGCAGTCGTGGTTCCTGTCCCTAAATCTAGTCGTCCAACAATTCTAAATGACTTCAGGCCTGTTGCCCTCACTTCAGTTGTCATGAAAGTCTTTGAAAAAATCCTCAGAAATGTGATTATGAAAGAGACTGAACATCAGCTGGATCCAATGCAGTTTGCATATAGGCCCAACAGAGGAGTGGAGGACGCACTTTGACTTTATTAAATCTGATTCCTAAACATGTAGAGAGTAAAGGGACTTTTGCAAGACTTCTTTTCATTGATTTTTCTTCGGCTTTTAATACAATACAGCCCCATATTTTAACTAAAAGACTTTTAGAACAGTTTGAAATCAGGAAAAACCTGGTGGGCTGGATTTTAGATTTTCTAACTGACAGGTCACAAAGAGTGAGAATAAATGGGGTTCTGTCTGACCCAGTGTTCTCCTCCACAGGTTCTGGTCAAGGGTGCGTCTTATCGCCCTTATTATTCATTCTCTATACAAACATGTGTCAGAGCAGACATGAAAACAGGGCCATCATTAAATATGCAGATGACTCTGTTATTGTCAGCTTACTGAAAGAGGGTGAAACTAACCACGGTCCAGTCATTGATGACTTTGTTCAGTGGTGTGAGGAGTCTTATCTCCAGTTGAACATACCTAAAACAAAACATATGGTTGTTGATTTTAGGAAACAGCAAAATGGGCACGCAGTCAATTTAATTAAAGGTCAGAAAATAGAGCAAGTACAATCATATAAATATCTTAGGACCATAATCAATGAAAAACTGAACTTTGACTCCAAATCAGTTTGTAAAAAGGGTCACCAGCACCTTTATTGCCTTAGAA